GTTAGCAATTGCTTCCCCTAAAAAAACTTGGGGGAAGCAATAAACTTTTATTGCTTCCTCAAAATTTTGGCGCTTTTCAGTATATTTGCTAGAATAAAACTATCTAAATCAACCTACATATACGTTTACAGCAGTGGCGGCGCACCAGCAAGCAACGGGTTAGCAATTGCTTCCCCTGAAAAACTGACCTTGCGCCGCCACTGATTTTACCTCCTGCACACTGGAATTCATCTGTCGATTCATATTTTATTTTTATTTATTTCCAGTGCATCTGTCATGTCAGGACAAAATGCCGGTGTTCAAACAATTCTTCGAAGAGGATATATGCCGAGCTCTTTACATACATTGCTGTACGCATCGTTTAAACTTGGTTATTAGCGATGTATGCAAAGTACTTGTTTATATTTGCGAATTTATGGCAGTTTTGTCCAAGATGTATTCATATTTTACTACGCCGGGTGTAACTAATGAATACTTTCGGCAGACGCAGCTAGATCTTAAACTGAGTATGTCATTAGTTTTCTCAATATGGATATGCTGCACATGATCAATCTCCGTTTAGATTCAACATCTAAACTGAAGATGTGGGCGCCCACCAGATGGGATTCTCGTTGGGAAAGCATCGATGCTGTTATTAAAAATTACCCAGCTATTCGTCGAGCATTTGAAGAAATAATCGAAGAAGGTGGTGATCGCTCAATAGATGCACGTGGTTTGATTTTAGCTGTCAAAGAGCCGATTTTTCTCGTATCATTGTGTGTTTTGAATCGTTTAATGGGTCGGTCCGAACAACTCAAAAGTACGTTACGTCAACAGCACTCTTCCCATCTTTCAGCTCTTTTTTTGCTTGTTTAGGTGTTGCGATAGACTACGGTGCTGCTGCACAGCTAATTTCATCTGTAACCAAACAGTTTGAGAACATGAGAAACGAAGAATCATTCAAATTGGTTTACAATGATGCCTTGAAACTTGCTCGTGACAACAACATTAACCTGGAAGAAATAATAAGAACTCTACGACAAACGACCATTCCAGCCCGATTCAAGGATTCAATCATTACTAGTACAATCGGTAAACGAGATAGAGCAGAGAATGAAGAGAAATTTCGACAAATCATTTACTATTCGGCACTCGATTGTATTCTCATTGAACTCAATGATCGTTTCTCCGACGAAAATATGCAACTATCTAAGAGCATCTCGGCACTGAATCCCGAGAATCAGACATTTTTAAATCTCGATCTGTTGAAACCTTTGGCCACGCACTTGAATCTCGATCATCAAACATTAGCAAATGAACTGGCTGTGTTAAAACCGATGATGAAACAGTCGAAATGGAAAACCATCAATGAAGTTCTTCATGAACTTCATCCGTTGACCAGTGCATTTCAGACAACAACGTCTCTTATCAAAGGCGGCATGACAATTCCGGTATCATCCACGACTTGTAAAAGAACTTTTTCCAAGATGAAAATTATCGAGACTTATCTAAGGAATTCCATGACAGACGACAGGCTCAGTGATCTTACTGTGTTGGCTGTATAGCGAGACATTCATATTAACTTCGAAGAAGTCGTAGATGTGTTCGCAAAAAATGACACAAACAGTCGGATTCTGTTGTGCTAGGAACACGGTTAATTTTCTTTTTTTGTATTTCTATTGCAGTATATCTGTCAATCTTTTTCACTTCTTATTAGTTGATTTCATCGGTAGTAAACAAGTAGTAGGCTTGAGTTGCGTTCCCTTTCAAATTTCAACTTGGTTTCAATTTTTAGTGAAGCTGTTTATCTTATAAGTTATCTAATTTGCTCTAGTGTTTAAAAATATTACTAACTACAGCTACTTGAGCTCTTTGGAACATTTAAACTATCTTTGAAGCGATAGAAAGTTATTAGCACTAATTCAGACCAAGCTTCAAAAAAAGTGATGCTGAGCCCAGCCTGGCACGAAATTCTGGCTTCGCCACTACTGATTCGTCACCCGACAAAACTTTTGAAACATCAGCTCGTCGCTTTTGTCAAACTGTCTCGATTGAAGAGTGTCCTCTTTTGTGGCCAGCTTTTGGCATTGAAACGAAAAACTTTGAAGGTTTGATTTCATTCTTTCATTTTTTTACCCTAAAATACAAAAAGTTCTTTTCAGGTCGAACATATTCCGTAACAAATACTTGTAATATTGATGCTCCCCTATTTGCTATTTATGTAATTTTTTGCACAGAAACAACGATAAATAATATCATATT